TCAGTTTATTATTATTATTGTCAGTTTATTATTATTATTGTCAGTTTGTTATTATTATTATTATTATTATTATTATTATTATTATTATTATTATTATTATTATTAGTTTATTTGTTTTTTATCAGTTGACCTAATTCAGTTTTTCAGGTTCATAGTCATCCGTCTATCCATCCATTTCTCCATTCATCCATCCATCTGTCTGTCTGTCCATCATCCATCCATCCATCCATCCATCCATCCATCCATCCATCAGTTTGTTCATCCATCCACCAGTCCTTCCTTCCTTCCATCCATCTTTTATCTCTAACCGCCTCTTCTGTCCATCTGGTGCTTTTGTACAAACAACAGAAAACCTCAGAGAATAAAAAGATATTAAATAAATCAAACGTTGCTGCCTCGCTGCCATTTTCCTGGTGAGCTGCTGTCAAATTATCCTTCTACACGGTCTGAATGGCTCCTGATGGAAATTGTTAGAAATGGCAGATTAATTTCCATGCTGGGCTGAAGTCCAACATCCACGGCTGTTGGTGAAAGATTGAGAGAGAAACAGAAGAAAAAGAAAACCCAGCGTTGAGCGCGCTCACATCGTAACAGCAGAAAGATTTTTTACTTCCGACCTCCTCCTTCAGTCTTTGACCAAACCAGGGAGGTTTCTGGGGCTTTGGAGGAGTTTGATTGGTTGGCTCCTGTTTTGGGGGGAAGTTTTAAATTTATAATTTTGCTGCCACATTCACAAACTTCACTTATAGATCATAAACAAAAACATACTGTGAAATGTATTTATTTATTTATTTATTTATTTATTTAGCATGTCTGCAAACATTTAGGACATTTATTGAGTTAGATCATCCAAAGACTTTCGTAAATGATTGACCAAAGTCCCGTTGATGTCTTTGGAAACATTTTTGCTCTTTACTCTAAACAACGTACCAAAAGTCAGAAAACACAATTCCTGATTGAGATGATTCACATGTTGTTGGATTTTTGTTTGATATCATCTAATGGAGCAACGTTTTCCCATGAACCATGAGATGAATTATAATGAAATCTCAGAAAATGATTGGTTGAACGTTCACAAGTCCATCACAGGGACACATAGAGACAAACGAGACAAACAACCATTCACTCTCTCACTCACACCTAGGGACAATTTAGAGTTACCAATCAGCCTAACACGCATGTTTTTGGTCTGTGGGAGGAAACCGGAGTACCCGGAGAAAACTCACGCATGCACGGAGAGAACATGCAAACTCCACCCAGAAAGGCCCCTGGACCGGGGTTTGAACCAGGGACCTGCTCGCTGAGAGGCAGCAGCTCTACCAGTTGCGCCACCGTGCTGCCCGGGATGTGTCCCCCTGACATGTAAAATATATTTATTTGGACCCCCCCCACACACACACACGCACACACTCAATTTACCATGAAATAAGTTCAACCAACGCTGTTTCTATTTCATCGTTATTGAAGCCATTCCACTTGATAATAGATGAATACTCAAACCACTAAAAGTCCACTATGGGGTGTTTTGTCGACGGGGTGGGGGCATGAGGGGGAGACACCTCTGTGTTGCACACTAACTTAGCGCTACGTGTTAGTGCCAGCAATTGTTGTCCGGGGTGTGTGTGTGTGTGGGCTGTGGGGGGGTTGAGATGCTTGAGAGAAATGGAGCGTGCTCTGTTCACACAAGGAGAGCTGTTGGTCAGGCTACTTCTTGTTGCTCTCTAAAATAGTTATTGAATCAAGTGTTTACTTTTGTAGATAAACTAGATGTGTAACAACTTGTTAAAATACACCAGGATGCAGAAAATGGCATCTACTTTATTCAAAATCTTATGGGCCAGGACCCCCATCCCCCCCCCCCCATGTGTCCACCCTACATTACAAATGCTTCTGACGCCAATGAAATCATCCAATGGGTGAAGGGGATGGAAGTCACTTCTCTTCGGCTCGGGTGTAGAGACTCAAGCCAAAGGTGAGCGCACGCTGTAGCGTTCCAAAAGTAATGTGGTAGTCGGTCCGCAGCTACACCTGAGACAGCAGTGGTCTGGATGTGAGGTTCTGGTGGAAAGCAACATGAAACAAACATCAGAGAAGGGCTGAACGTTTCAATTTGAAGCTCGAGTTTTCAGAAGCTGCTAAAGTTTCTGTAATTATCCACAAACACATTCACTGTCCGGTGACTCTCCGTACATATCCTGATGCATGCTCAATAATCCAGGTAGAAAAATCTAAAAAATGTAATGTCTCCGTAAATGTTTAAATAAATCTGAATTTCACGTGTTAAACGTTGTAAATCGGCTGTTAGGAGTGTAACGTTTGCATCACCTGCAGCAGCAGGTGCGCGTCACTCGTTCGGTCCTCCACGGTGAGCCAGCCCGCTCCGAGGACTCTTCAAACATCCCGACCTTTGACCTCCATGCTTTAGGAGCCTGAAATCAGTCTCCACTTGTTTTTACCACATATTTATGAGGATTTAAACGTTCAAGAATCTTAACACGACTAACTAGTTATTTATTTTATCACAGCTTGAACTACAATATCTGCTGTGTGGATGCAGTGATGGTGACGTTAGTCGTGTTTATTTGTAAATGTTGGAACGTTCTTTGATTCCTTTAGAAGCTGAACATTTCCCTTCACTGCAGATAAAAGTTTGACCCGTTACACCGACCAAGGATAAAGTCCCAGGTCGTTAACAAATTATCTGTGGGTCCATTGAATGAGACGTCTGAAATTTAATCCTAAATAAAGTTATAAATCACTTTTCTGATCAGAACCAAGTCAGTTCAGTTTGTTTCTGCTCCGAGTCGACAGGAGTCGTCTCAGGACACTGAACAGAAACATTCACAAACTTTATAAAAACATTTAAAGTTCTCCCTCAGGAAGCAGCAGATTGAGTTGAATCTTCTCTTCATCACAGTCTCATCCTGAGCAAGAACAGAGGAGACAGTGGGAAGAAAGAACTCCCTTTAACAGAAGAACCAGCTCAGGACCACCGGTCATCTGCTTCAACTGGCTGGGTCTGAGAGGACAGGAAGTAGAAACAGACACAGAATGACAGGTCCAGGTTTCTATAGTCCAGGTGTACTTTCTATAGTCCAGGTGAACTTTCTATAGTCCAGGTGAACTTTCTGTAGTCCAGGTGAACTTTCTGTAGTCCAGGTGTACTTTCTATAGTCCAGGTGAACTTTCTATAGTCAAGGTGAACTTTCTATAGTCCTGGTGTACTTTCTATAGTCCTGGTGAACTTTCTATAGTCCTGGTGTACTTTCTATAGTCCTGGTGAACTTTCTATAGTCCTGGTGAACTTTCTATAGTCCTGGTGTACTTTCTATAGTCCAGGTGTACTTTCTATGGTCCTGGTGTACTTTCTATGGTCCTGGCGAACTTTCTATAGTCCTGGTGTACTTTCTATAGTCGTGGTGTACTTTCTATGGTCCTGGTGTA